GGCAGAGAACTCGTCAGGGCTGTTTCCTCTGCCTGTGCTCTTCATCCCACAGGGCTTCATTTTGGGATTTGATGTCCAATAGCCCCAGTCACAGCCTGGATTCACAAACAGAAGGTGAAATGAGCACTGGCTTTCCCTGCCAGGTGCTGCTGACACATTTACTTCCTACTTGTGGTCCTTCAGAGGCCCACAGAAGGATTTTGGATCTTCCTGATGCCACATGCTCTTAAGTCAAGCTGATTGACCAGCTTCAGCCTCACAGCATGATGTCAAAAGGGCAGGTGAAGGCTGTGCCAAACATTTCTGGTCATACTTGGGTTATTTTCGTTAGGCTTTGAATTAAGGTCTGTGATTTTTACAGTTTCTGACATTGAAGTGTGTTGCTTTTCCTGATAAATCAGCTCCGTTAACACCACCAATATTAAAGGAATGCCCAGTATGTGCACATAGCCTTGTAAGGTATAGTGGACTATAAAAGGCATTCAAAGGTACTGTTGTTCCTAAGGAGATTTAAACAAGAATTTTCCATCAGCTCCTCCCAGAGCTCCCTGACCTTTTGCCTCTCTGTTACAGGGAGGTGACACCTCTGCTCTGTCCAGCTTGTGTTTCACAAGGTCCACGTCCTTCAGAGCCATGTTTTCTAAAGATTACCAAATTTGTTCACTCACCTGCACCAGCTTCTGCAGCTTCCCCTTCTGCCACTGCTGTGGTTTGTACCCTTGCAGAAACTGGGTTTAGTTCAGGTTTTAATAACTCCACCTCCCTGCTGAAAGGGTCTCAAATTCCTGTTCCTCCCAGAGCACTGAGCTTGTTCACGGGGACTTGAGCAACAAGGGCTAAACTAAAACCAATTTTCTTTTCTTTTGGGGGCAAAGCATCACTTGGGCTGTGTTTTGTCAGGTACCAAACACTGCAGAGATGCAGAAACGTGGTGTTTGTGGTTGTTTGTCTAAACCACATAAAAACAGATTATGAACATAGAGACCTGTGTGGGAATGTCAGTGCAAGTGGAAAGATCTGCGTCATTTCAGGAACTTGTCGCTTAATTTTTATTCCTTTTTGGTTTGTATTAAATGTCACTGCTTTCTTCTGGTTTAATCCCTTTTTGATCAAGTTGATAAAACAGGTGGTCCTGTATTCCAGGAGGAGAAGGGGTGGCAGGGATGTGCTTTTGGTGGGGGAAGAGCAAAGTCGCTGTCCCATAAGAACTGGCTGTGCCTTGTCTGGCTGTTCTAATAGATTCAGGTCCAGCCTCTGCTCTCTCTCACCCTTTCTATTTATTTATTTTAACAAATTATGTTCTACAAACCGAACAGCTCCTGTCTCAAAGACAAAGCAAACTGACCTTGAGCCCTGTGTTGGCCATCTGGGTTGTTGGAAGTGCCCACGGGCGTGTTTGGATTTTGGAGCTGGGAAGGTTAATGGATGCCCTTTCTGCGATGACTTTTATTCCTGTCTCCTCTTGTCCATGAGATGCTTGGTGTCTGTCCACTCCCAATAAATAGAGCCATATGTACATACACACACACACGTGTTCTTAGTCGGAGAGCTCAGCACCGGTGCCTCAGCCTGCCTTGGGATTATCCAGGGTTTTCCATGGGTACCTTGTGAGTGATGGCAGAAATCCAGGACTTGGTCACTGGCTTTAGTTGCTGTGAGTGTCTGCAGTACAGAGGAAAGTCACTGTGTAACTGCTTGTGAAATGATGCTGAGATTTAAGGCATGGGAGGATCCAGGAACTGTCTGCAGAGCAGGGGACGAGGTGCTATTTTATAGACCAGATTTATATGAAGAACCTCTGGGTAAAACTCAGCTCAGAGACGTGGTGCCTCGTCACAGACACCACACTCTAGGACAGATGATTTTTTTTTTTAAATGAGTCTGTTTCCTCGAACTGGGGAACGTCCAGTTTGGAGTTACAACTTTTTACAACGGTCGCTTTCTTCTTCAGTGATGTCGAACTTCACGTGGGAGGAGGGAGAGGATTCATTTGGAAGATTTCAGCTCACTGTGCTGGGAGGGACCAAACTCAAGGAAACCTCTGATCTATATACACAACTGCTGCATTTTTTATAAATATATGTAAATGTCCTATTGTAATATTTGATCCTGGAAATAAAACAAACTGTTTTCAGTAGCTTTTTTTCAGGTCTTGGTTTTTTGGTTTTGGGGCTTATTTGTTGGTTTAGTTGTAATGAAAGTCTGTCCTTGTGTTACATGTGGAGTTCCAGAGTTTTTCCTTAGGGATACTGGGGTAGAAGGATAAGGAACTGTTGACAACAAGTGCACTGCTTGCTTAGCCCAAAAAAACTTCAGCCCATTCTAGAGGGTCCAAAATCTTGAAGTGAGACAAACTTTTGGGACCTCGATAGGAAAAACACCCTTTTGAAAATGAATAAAAAGAGGCAGGGATAGGATTTTCCATCCTTCCAATTGGAAGAGCAGAGGAAATGGGGCTTTCTGTTCTGACCTGTCAGTGTCCTCCTGGTACAGGTGTTGTCAAGGCAGAGCCTCTGCTTTCTGCAGTTGTTGTGGGGCTCCTTGGGATGTTCCTGTTGTGGCCTCACGTGAAATGTTGATGAGCAGAGACCCTTCTGGACAAGGACTTGGCAGGTACAGTGGGGTAACAGTAATTAAGAAATTAATTTTGGGTCATCCTGGTGTTCCTGACTGTAGGTAGGTCTCCACTGAAACAGTGACCTCGGCCACTGCCATGGTCTTGCCCTATTTGAAGCTGGAAAACACTTTGATCTCTTCCTGCGGCTTAGGAAGAAAATATTTCCCATTCCTACTGGCGTGGAAATCTTTTTTCATTTGCAGGTCAAGGAACTTCAGGGACACCTCAAACTCAAGATACTTCTTGGGTTTAATTAATTTGTTTTTCCTTTCTGCAGGCTGCTTCCGATTTTTAACGGGATGGGTTTATCCGAAGTATTAATTCAGGTGACATGTGTGAGGGCACTACAGCAAATCCTGTCCAGCAGCATCGTGTTGGTATTTCCTCAGTCAGTTCTAGCCACAGGCTCCCTGCAGGGCTTGTCCAAGGGGATTTTGGAGGAGTTGTGGCTGACTGGTGGCAGAAATGGATTTGCAGATTCCACAAATAGATTTGCAGAGAGGAGCAGGAAGGACCACTGTGCTGAGCATCCTCTGGCCAGGACCGAGGTGGAGGCTGGTTTGGCACAGAAGGGTTTCATCTCAACGCTTCCAAGTCAGCTCAGCCTCTGGTTCTCCTTGAAGCCAAACCACACTTGAAACCCAACCTGTGCCATTTCCCCAGCCCCAAAGGAGTTTGGGCAAGGGGAGCAGGGAAGCAAAGAAGCTGTGAGAAGAAGTCAGAGAAGGACCTTGCTGAGCTGGAATTGCTTTGCGTGGGACCAGGTTTGGCTGTGCCATGAACCAGGTGGCCTGGCAGCAAATTCCTTGCCCATAATTGCTGTGCTGGTGCTTTCACAATGAAGCTCTCGTGTGAGAGAGGCAGGGGCACAGCCCCTCACGTGCTGGGCTAAAATTAGCTTATTATTATTATGGTTACTGTTAGGGGTACAAGGGGAAGAGCAGCAATCCCAGATTCTCCCTGACGCCGCCCCGGCGCTGCGTGGCAGGAGGTTTCCTGTGGGAGGTGATGGAGTGGATCATGTGTGGGGCAACGTGGGAAGCCCAGATCGCCGTGACGTAGGAGAGGCACAAGATGAGGTTGCAACACGTTTTCTTCCAGGAGCAAAGGAACGCTTCCCCTCTTTCTAAGTAAGAAAAGAGAGGAAGGAGAAATTGGATTATTCTCGGCACTCTGCTGTCCTGCATGTTTTGCCTTTGCTGTTGTCTGCCTTTTAGAGACCAATTTGTCTTATTTAGGAATAAAACAGAAATTTATGTGCTGCTGCGGCCTCTGATTTTTCCTTTCAGAGGAGCTGTTGGATAATCTGCTCCTCTCCTCTCATTTTTCCTAGAGGAACAGAATTGCCTGATGTGACCTGGCCTCACCCATTCATGTTTTCCCATGTGACTCTTGAGGGCTCCAACTCCACCTTCTATTTCTTCCTATCTGGGAGCACAATTTATATCCTCGACTCATTGATTTGAAAGCAGGAAAAGCCACTTTGAAACAAATCAGCAAAGGGGTGTGGGTCACCCTGGGTAGAGCAGGTTAGGGTATGGACCAGAAGGCAGCACTCCAGGTGCTTTTTTTACTTACAGCATCAGAGCAAGACTCTGTGCTTCAGGTCCTCATGAACACACAAGGAATAGGAGCCATCTCAAAACTCTTCTTGGAGAAGATTCTTCCTTCTGCCTGCACAGCCCCTGAGCTGTTCTTCTCTTTGCTTGTGCCACCTGCAACTCCTCTGCCAACAAAACTGCCCCATTTTTGCCATTTTTTGGTGCTACAGTTTCTCTGTCTCCTGTTCTCGGACGCAAAGATCATCCACGTTCTCGTGATCCTGTTCCCATACTGTCAGACCTTTCCTGTGGGAGTAGCAGAGGAGCTTCCCTGTTGCACAGTAACTGCCAGCCATGGGCACCTCAGATGGGAAAAGGTGGTGTCCGAGGACTTGTAATAATTAAGATGTCCAGAAACCTTTGCCTCTCAATCTTGTCTCCAAGGCATGAGATATACTCAGCACCTGAGGAAAAGCTGGGCCACCTGTGAGGAAGAAAAAGGTGGGAGTTAGGAACCAGCTGAGACATGAGAATGCTTATTTAGAAGCTTTTATTAAAATATTAGTGAGAGAGGGGAGTGTTCTCCTAACATGGTCACCACAGGTCATTCCAGGAGCAGCGGTTTCTCAGTGGTCGAGGCATTTAGTGCAGAAGTGGTAGAAGCCTTAAAATCTGAAATTGTGCCTGTTTTGATGAACTCTGGCAGCAAAAGGGGGAAGGACCGTGCAGAAGGATCCGGCACAGCACCGGAGGATCTGGCTCATTCAGCCAGGACAGTCACCCTTTGAATGGATGGATCATGACTGATGCATGGGCGGACCTTGGGTGGGAGGGGGAAGACAGGGAGCACACCCTGGGGCATCATAAATAGTCAGCTGGGGGGAGATGCCTCCAGCACAGAGCTCATCTGAGGGGTGGACGCTGCTGACGCCACGTGGCATCACTCCCAGGTAAGCCAGGAAGCAGGGAGGACAGGGTCCCTGGGCTTTGCTGGAATCTCTGTGCTTTTCCATGGAGATGTGCTGGCGGAAGGGTCGAGGCTTTTGAGGGTCCTGACGGAGACTGGGTCAGCTGGACTTTGGCTTTGCCTCCCCTGGCGCAGGGGTTTGTCTGTGCTGGCTGAGAGGGAAGCTGCTTCTTCAAGGGGAACGTTTCGAGGGGACAGCACACCATGGGGAGCTTCCTAGGGGAAAGAGGCCTCCTGCTGTCCCCAGGGAGAGGGCAGCTGTGGAGGGGAAGGAGAATCCTTGGAGAGGTTGAAGCTGCAGAAAACTCTGGCTGGTGAGAGCCTGGGCTGTGAGCTCAGAGGAGCAGGAGCTCCCCCATGGTGGGGAGGTGGGACTCACCACTGGATACTCATGGACAACCACGCACAGTCCCTGGACTGCAGGCAGGACCACAGTGAGGGTCAGGGGCCCTAAATTCCGTATAACCAAGGCAGGGAGGATGGAAAACAGAGAGGATGTGGAACTCCAGGTTTGGGGGGAGCTGATGGTCCACTTGGGCATCTTGGCTTATGTCACCCTCCACACAGGTCTCCCAGCCCCTTCCTCCATGCTCAGCCCTCCCTGGCATCCTGCTGGGACTGGCGTGGCTGCTCCCCAGCCCCTCTGGATGTGCTGCCTGAGCTGCTCCTCCCCGGCCCACGAGGGGGCTGAGGCAGCTCTTCCCACGGGAACAACTAACAGCCACGTGGTGCAGTGGTGCCACAGTCACTTCTGCTTTGCAAAGCCAGAGCAAGCTTGAAAAAGATTATCCAGAGCCAGAAGCAGCTCAGTCTGGGGAACTTGTGCAAAATGGGTCACAATCCACCAGGAAAGGGGAAAATGCATAAACCCAACCCGGAACAAAAAGAACACAGGGTAGAAGAAACCTGGGAGCCAGGACAGCACCAAAACAGGTTGTTTTCAGAGGTCCCAGAGTGACCAATGGGCATCCCTGTGTTGTAGGTGCAGAAGAGAAGTAATTTTGGACAAGGTATCACCTGGAGATGGGCAGGTGCCTTATAGGTGAACTCATAACTTAGTAAGATGTCAGTGGAGTTGGAGGGTAGGGGATAACATTTTCTTAATTAACTTTAATTAGTTTCAGCATACTCAGACCTACGGCGGGATTCATGTATGACAGGAGTGGAGTTGCTGTTGGATTTTTGATTGGAGACTGATGTGCCTTCACAAGTCCTTGTTCAAGGATTTCACCCCTTTCCTGGCTCGCTGTAAACACTGAAAGCCAAACTGAGCCGTGGTGGGTGGTTTGCCCCCTGCAGTAACATTATCACAGAACCACAGACGGGTTTGGGTTGGAAGGGACCTTAAAGACCATCTCGTTCCAACCCTCCAGCTCTGGGCAGGGACACGTTCTGGAGGAGTCAAACCCTGAGGCTGCACAGGTCTCAAGGCTTGGTGTGGGACTCGCTGTTGTCTTAAACTCCACTGCCTGTTTGGCAAAGAAATATTAGGGTTTCCACTGGAAATTGCCCTCAAGTAGGGGCAGTGCCAGTGGGGTGGGCTGGAACCCAAACCCACGACCCAGTAACTCCTGCTCTCCCACAGCTGTGGGATGGGCTCAGGGTGGGGAAGCCGTGGGGCCCCACGAGGCTGAACGCAGCTCTTTCCTCTCCTCCTCTTCCTCCCCGTTCCCACGCAGGACAGAGATGTGTGTGGGGAAGTGCAGCCGGATTGTGGGTCCCTGCCTGCTGGCCCTGGGCACGCTCTCCATGGCAGCCAGCGTCCTCCTGCTCTTCCCTGGCGGAGCATCCAAGTACCTGTTGGAGGGGCACATCAGCAGACACGCCCTGGCCGTGCCGGGTGTCTGGGGAGGCGGCATCCCCGTGAGTACTGTGGGTCACACCCGTCCCCCCTCACGGGCCTGTGGAGCAGGGACAGAGGGATGGAGCAGGGCAGGTGGCTTCTCTTTGTCCCCCAGCCTCATTTTCCTTCCCACAGGTGCTGCTGGCAGCGACCCACATCACAGCACTGGGGTGGCGATGTGCCGGCTGCTCCAACTGCGGCACCCGCTGGAATGTAAGGGACCCCTGTGCGAGAGCAGTGCCCAGCAGCAGGGGGTGGGATGTGGGGGGGACTGGCAGGGTGCCACCTCTGCCACGGCCCCACGGTGGGACATGGCATGGACCCCCTCTCCCCTCATCCCGTGGTGGGATGTGGTAGGTGGCCCCTCTCCCATGGCAGGTCCTGGCAGGGTGTCCCTCTCCAATGGCCCTATGGAGGTTCATGGCACAGACCAGCCTTTCTCATGGTCCCATGGTGGGATGCTGCATGGTGGCCCCTTCCAAGAAGACAGGCTTTCCATGTGTGCTGGCATGGGCTCTGCCCCACCAGGCTCTGCATGGCAGACCCCTGCCTGTCCCTGCTCCTTGCCCATTTCCCTCCCTGCCTGTCCCTGCTCCTTGCCCATTTCCCTCCCTGCCTGTCCCTGCTCCTTGCCCATCTCCCTCCCTGCCTGTCCCTGCTCCTTGCCCATCTCCCTCCCTGCCTGTCCCTGCTCCTTGCCCATTTCCATCCCTGCCTGTCTCCACTCCCTGCTTGCTTCTGCCCAGCCCAGCAATGGTTCCATCCACAGCCACAGTCACCCGGGACTGGAGCCCTTTGGGGTGAAGGGGAGGGGAGTTTTCCCCCCTGCCAAACATGCTGACAACCAGCAGCTGTGTTTTGGAGCCCACCTGACTCTCAGGTGTTCCCCACAGGCCTTCATCTCCACTGTGCTCTCCAAGCTGGCGTTCCTGGGTGCTGCCGCCTGCTTCGTCCTCTCTGGGGTGGGTTTGACCAACGGCCCCCTCTGCTTCTACAACGCCTCTGAGCACAGCCTCGGGCACGGAGCCCTCTGGGGTTACCCCTTCCCGGATGCCGCTGGCCAGGTGCCTGATGCCAGGTGAGGGGCTGAATCACCAGTGCTGCCTCACTGGCTTATTGCTAATTAAGTCAGTGTTAATTATGGTGGGGGGGGGTGGGTGCTTGCAAGACTCTGGTAGCTCGAGGGGTGCCCACCTTCCATGAATTTCTACATGGTGCTTTGCACCTCCACCACCCCCCTGACCCCGCTCACCCTCGGGCTGAAGGACGGGATGTCTGGGACACCCTCTGTGGCGGAAAGCGATGGGATTCCTGACCTGCCACGGGCAGCATCCTGCATCTCCTCCCCTCCCCGTCACACAGGGCTAAGACCTACCTCTACGATCGGCACACCTGGAGCATCTGCCTGGAGCCAGAGGGCATCGTGGCCTGGAACGTCGTCCTCTTCTCCATCCTGCTGCTCGTCAGCGTGGCCGAGATGGTGCTGTCCTTCCTCCAGATCCTCAACGGCTGCCTCGGCTGCCTCTGTGGCCTCTGTGAGGGCAAGTAGGGCCCGGGGGCAGTGCCAGGAGGCTGCGCTCGGAGGAGGTGTCACCTCTGGTGTCACTTGGCTGGTGGCACACGCCGAACTGGAGGTATGGTAGGAACTGTGACACCGGCCCTTCGGGGTTGGAAAGCAGCCAGGTGAGGGATGGAGGTGAGGACTCAGCTCATGGCACCCCAGCATGAGCCCAACAGCTTCCTTGGCTGCCTCCACCCACCCCAGTGCAAGATGTGACACAACGGTGTTTGTAGAGACAAGAGCGGGACACTAATTTAATTTTTCTTAATCAGTTCGTATTTAGGGCAGCTGGGCTGGTGTTTGTCACCTGCAGAGGGCAGGAGAGGGGAAGGAGACCAGAGAAGCAGAGCTGGGCTCTGGCTGGAGCACTTGGATAGGGTCCTGCTGGAGGAGGCAGGGCTGGAATTGAGGTGTGGCCCCCCAAAGTTCACCCCCACACAAATGTCAGGAGCAGATGCTGCTCATCCCCAGGACCAGGACCCCACTGCTGTGCTTACAGGGGGGTCACTGGTTTCAGTGCATCTCCCACTCCCCTAAACCTTCACAGGGACCCAGTGTGGGCCTGAGCCTGCCCGTGCTGGGAGGGTGTTTGCCCCCCACTGACAAGGGCCAAGGAAAGCAGTGATGGTGGCAGCAGATTAAAAACACCAAAGCACTGAGCCAGATTAAACAGTAACTGGGCCACTGTGGTGGTTTAACCCCAGCTGGCACCTGAGCACCACACAGCCACTCCCTCACCCCCATCCCATGGGATGGATGGGGAGAGAATCAGAGGGGTAAAAGTGAGAAGACTCATGGGTTGACATAAGAGCAGTTTAATAATTGAAATAATAATAATAAATTGTAATGTAAAGGAAAATAATAAAGAGATAGAAATAGAACCCAAGACAGACAAGTGATGCAACACAAACAACTCTTTATCGTCAGCCCAAATACAAAACCCAGCCCCATCCCAGCTGTGATGAAGGAACTGAACTCTACTCCAGCCCAAACCCTCGCAGTGACTTCAGGGAGACCACTGAGAAAAAGCCTTTTCATGAAAAAGAAACTATTTACCGTTATATAACACGAAACATTTATACAACATATAAAACATTTATATAACATAACTAGTTATAACAACGGGAGGGAAACTCCCGGAGCAGGGTGGTGGTACCAGATGTGGCACAGCTGGAGCACTGTGTCCCCCTGACCCAGCACACGGGGATGGCACAGGGTGCCCCCAGCTGCCTCCTTTTGGCATTGCTGTTGCCCCCCAGTGTTTGTTTCATGAGGTGGCTCTGGCTGGAAAGGAGCCTGGGGCTGGGCGGGGCGCACAAGCCTCCCCACCAACCGATACATAATTAAAAAAATAACAATAAAAGTGAGATCAAATCCAGCCTGGGGATGGTAACACTGCTCTGCGTGATGTGGCCGTGCTGGACGGGGGTGGGGGTGGGACCCCAGGCTATGGGTTGATGTCCCGGGATCTGGCACTGGGGGGGTGGGGGAGCTGGCCTGGGGGGTCACTAGGACACGGGGCAGCTCCTCCGGCCCCGCTTCCCGTGGCGCCGGGGGCTGCGGCCCTGGCGGGGAGCAGTGGCTGTCACGGGGATGTTCTGGAGCACATCGTGCAGCGTGAACATGCTGAAGGAGATCTGCTCGTAGGGCGACCTCGTCCCGTTCTCGTAGAGGCAGGCGAAGGCGATGGCCGTGCCACCGGCCACCGGGGCCTCCGTGTAGGGCAGCTCCATGTAAGCCAGGTCTGAGTAAGCGCTCGGGCCCTCGTAGATGACCCAGGGCTCTGTCCAGCTCTCTGCATCCCTGGGGAAGGTGCTCAGGTGAACCCCCATGTTGACCCGTGACATGGAGCTGGTGGGGTGGGAGTAGAGGATCCATGTCGGCGCTTGGAAGAAGGGAGTGGGGCTGGGGGTTGCTGCAGGGTCCCCCTGGGCCAAGGTGGCACTGTGGGCTTGTTGGTGATGCCCTGGGGTAGGACAGTCCTCATCGGGCTCGTCTGGCTTGTGGTGGCTGCTGGTGGCCACAGTGGGCAGCTCATCACCTGCTGCCTTCCGAGTGGGCAGGTACCGAAACCCCTGGAACATCCCGGGGAGCAGCCGTCGAGCTGAGCCCCGGAGGGGCAACACAGAGTCCTGGGAGATGGTGGGGACATACACAAATGGTGCTGGGAAGCCGATGACACTGCCATGACAGCCATGGGGGGGCTCGACCAGCCGCTGGACCAGCTGCCCCCTGTGGAAGACGGCCCCGTCATCCGTGCTGAGCGCCTGGACCCTGAAGCCCAGCGGGCTGCGGGCGTTGCAGTACAGGACGTTGGATCCATCCTCCTCATCCACCGAGACCAGCTGGCACTCGCCCGTCTGCAGGTTGGGGATGAACTCCCCGAAGCGCCAGCCGTGGCCGTGGTCGTCGCTGTAGAAGGCGAAGGAGTGCGGGGTGGTCTTGCAGAGCTGCCCGAAGCACTCCTTGCAGTCGATGTGGTAGCTGTAGGCGGGCACCAGCAGCCGGCCGGAGCGCAGCTGGATCCCGTGCCCAGGGCCCAGCGCGAACGTCGCCCAGTCTGCGGAGCGGAGATGGGATGGGGTGAAGGTGGAACGGGCAAACAGTGACCACCACGGTACCCTTCCATGCCCAGTGTGGAAGGGTCTCCAGGGCTTCCCCTGTCCAGCCAAGCCAGGTGGTGGGGTGGGAGAGCAGCCTCGTGCTGCCCCGTTGTCCTCACACATGGTCATACCCTTGGCTGTGGGGAGGTCTCCATCTTCTTCCTACCCCAAGCGATATAGATACTCCCTCCATCCCCTCTCCCCTCTGCTTAAGGTTCTCTTCCACCCTCTTGGAAGCCTGTGGGCTTCCTACTCCAAGGTCACCTCCAGCCACACCACAGGTGGCTCCAGGAGGCCAAAACCCACGGTCACCTCCTTGCTGGCCATCCTTCCCCCTCCCCAGCCCTCTCCAGCTGGGTACCTTTGATGGCTGCACCAATGACCTGCTGTGTCAGGTCCGTGGCTGTGCTCCAGCTCAGGCCCTGGTCGGCGCTGGTGACGCAGCAGAGGCGAGTGACGTTCTGGCCAGTGACAATCTGGTAGGCTTCGGGCGTCCTGCCCAGCACCGTGATGAAGAAGAGGAAGAGGGTGCCCGTGAATTCATCGTAGAGGGGGCAGGGGTTCATCGACCGGTGGTGCTGCAGCGTCGCCGTCTCCAGCACGCGCATGTCTTCCCACTGCCCAGGGAGGAGGAGGAGGAGGAGGAGGAGAGAATGGAAAGAGACGAGACAGGTGAGGAACATCCTACTTTTTCACCCAGAGAAACTGTGGCTGCCCTGTCTCTGGAAGTGTTCAAGGTCAGGTTGGATGGGGCTTGGAACAACCCGGTCTCTAGTGGAAGGTGTCCCTGCACAAGGCGGGGGGGGGTAGAACGAGATGACCTTTGAGGTCCCTTCCAACCCAAACCATTCTGGGATTCCATGATTCACCTCACCCACCCCCAGCCTCCCCCCGCCATGCAGCCGCCTCCGGGAGCTCAGCTGTGCCACACACAAGCAGCGAGGACAACCGCCCATCCGTCCCCACGTCCCCAGCCCCGTGTGTCCCCCCAGCCCGGGGTGTGCCCCCCGTCCCACCTCCACGTAGCTGCCGTAGATGGTGCCGCGGCGCAGCACCAGCAGGTTGGCGTGGGCGTCGTCGGCGCTGAGCCGCTCCTCGGCGAACGCCAGCAGCTTGGCCACACAGGGCAGGTAGAGCAGGGCGGGCACGCGGTACGTGACGCCGTTGGATTCCCTCTCAAAGAGCACGGTCCGGGCAGGGAAGTGCCGGGAGCCCATGGGGTCTGCAGCAAAAGGATGCAGCCCCACCACAGTGGGTTGGTGAAGGCGGGGGATCGGCTGCTGGGCACGGCCAGGGGCACTGGGTTGTCTTTGGGAGTGTTGGGGATTTAACTTGGTGGGTTTGGGCTTGGGGAAGCCCCAGGGAGCAGGGGCAGGGCTGGGGTGGAGAGAGGCTGAATGTGCACTGCTCTGGTGGGGAGTCCCTGAGGCTCAAAGGTTGGCCACAACTTTGGGTACCGGCAAGGAGGCTGACCTGGGGACTCCAAAATAAAATTAAATTAAATTGATCTTCAAGATGCTCTTCTGGGAAATCAAGGCCAGTGAGCAAAGGAGCTCCCTGCTCCCTTCAAGTGGGCACTGGGAGGGCAGAACCCACCTCTGCACACACAGGACCCCCAGATCAGCCCGGGCTCATCAAGAGGGGGTCAGGGAGTGTTTTGTCCTGTACCTCTGGTGCCTCCAGCACAATGAACCCAGTGGGCTCCTTGTTCCCCCCCCCTCTGTGGGGGGAGCCTGGGGTGCACAACACAGACCGTGGGGTCCCTGGGCGGGCTGTCCCTGCAGCAGTGGGTGCGAGCTGTCCCCAGGTGCCCTTCCTTTGGGGACAGCAGGAGTGACACCACCGTCAGCTGTCCCCAGGTTACATGTCTCTACGTGTCCCTGGGGATTATCACCACAGGAAGAGATGGGCACCCCACTCCAGGCACAGCTGGAGCAGCCAAGGCTGACTTTCACCAGCGGTTTAATCAGGAGCTTTTGCTGATCTAACCCCCCCCAGAGAAAGCGAAGGCACTCACCGGGTCCTGCTCGGCTGGGCTGACCCCTCTGTCCCTCGGTCCCAGCTGCTCCCGCCGTTGCTGGGTTTCTGCAGAGCCGTCTCCTCACTGCTTGGCTGCCACCCCTTTCCCCTTGCAGGGTCCCCCCACCGATGGGTCACGGGGCTCCCGCGGTGGTGGTGGCCAGGAAAAACCCCTGAGTCAGCAGTGGAGCTGCTGGTGCCGTGCCCGTGGCACAAAGGCACCGTTATGGGCCCGGGCACAGCCGGGGGCCCCGCGGCTGCTGAGCCTCCTTCTTTGGACCCTCGGGGATGGGATGCGAGGGGAGCCATGATGGGGGAATTACATCTCCTGCCTCAGTTTCCCTCCTCCTGCAGGTTGGGAGGTGCTGCAGCTCATGTTCACCATGGTCCACCCTGCTGTGAGCTCCCCAGCGTGGGGGTTGTGGTCTGGAGGGTCCCAGCCCTCCCAGGACCCCCAGCCTTCCCAGGATTCCCAACCTTCCCAGGATCCCCAGCTCCACCCAGACACCCACCCTTCCCAGGACCCTCAGCTCTGCCAGGATCCCCAGCCTTCCCAGAACCCCCAGCCCCCACAGGATCAGCAGCCTTCCCACGACCCCCACACTGCCCAGGATCCCCACCTGCACACAGGTCAGCTACTAAGAAACTATTTTTACACCTGTCTCTGTCATCAGCTTAAAGGGTTTGACAAAATTCACAGGGCAGGTCATGGATCAGAAGCTCCAAGGGGAAAACTGACGCAGAGGCTGCAGAACTGCCCCTGAAGGGCCCCTGGGATGGCCCAGGGTGACCACGTGTGGCTCTGGCTGCTCCACCCTGCTGGCACAAACGCCTCCCGAGCCTCGGGTTAAGAGGGTTCCTGGAGCAGGGAACCATGAAAATGCTGTTAATCTCTGTTGTTGCTGCTGGACACCTGTGCTGTGAGGAGCACAGGTTGCAGGGCAGGTTAACCCCTGCCTCAGCTGCTTCCCTGATGGATTTAAACAGAGTTGAAGAAAATCCTGGGTCTGCTTCCCACCCCGCTCCCCAGACAGCGTCCCTCATACTTCCCAGCTGGAGCTGCTGCCCCACAGCTTCAGTGTTGCCCTGAGGCAATGCTGCCAGCCAAGCAACCCCAGATCCATCCTCCCCATCCTGCCACCTGTGGCCCTGCTGCTGTGGCAGTGCAAGGAACGTCGGTCATTGTGGCAGCACCAGCCTCGTGGATGTGGTGACTGCTCGTCACCGTTCCCAACACACCCCTTGGTGCCAACAGTGCCAATAAACTTAGAAGCTGAGCTGGTGTCTCCTGCTTGCACTAGCAGGGGTGGCAGTGGGGACCTGGATGGCACCAGCGTGCCCAAAGCAGTGCCTCACCCCGTCCCCTCCTAATCTGTGCTGGAGAGTTCGGCCAATGCAGCAAGGGGAGACCCAACAAACCTTATGCTGGTAAAGGCCTTCAGGAATGCTGATCCGAAAGGACCTTCCCTGCCCACAGACCCTCACACAAGAGAGAGGGGCAAAGCCACAAAACGTCCTCCCAGAGGAGCACCACGTGGGGCAGAGGCTGCCACACCTCGTGACACAGGTGAAAGGAACATCTCACATGCCACGGAGAAAGGCAGCCAGTCAGCATGCCTGGCTTTGGGACAGATGCTTGGGACTCCCATCCCGAAGGCAGCCCCACACTGCATGGTGGTTACTCCTCGTTGAGCATGGATGCTGCTGGATGGGACATCCAACACGTCTCCTTCTCCTTTGAGAGCTGCATCCCCTCGTTGCGCTCTCCTTGTCTCCCTCCCCCTCCCCTAAACCCAAAAAATCAGGACTTGCTCCAGTGAGCTGTGACCAGGTTGGATGTAGTGACGGATATCAAATGAAATTAAAGCAGGCAAATGATCACACCTGTAATTAATGATTAAGAAGCTGGAATGTCTATGCCAGCTGCAGCCTGCCCAGCACTCCCCAGCTGGGAGCAGGCAGGAAGGATCACACAGGATCTGACCAATGCAGAGCCTTTGGCTCAAGGTCCCCAAAAAGGGACCAACCACCAACTCGGTGACCCTGAACAAAGCCCCCACTGCCTCCCCCCATGCACAAGAGTCCTGTCTTGTGTGGGTCAGTCACATGCCAGACATGGGGTGATGCAAAGCAGCGGGAAGCCACAGTGGGTTGTCATGTGTCCTAGTTGGTATTTGGGAGCTGCATCCTCTCCTGGGGTCTGGTCCACAGCAATGGCAACCCCAGCTCCTTCCCCTTCTTGTGCGGGTGTTGGACAGTGTAAAGGTAGGACGTGTACTGGAGCTCTGGAATGACCATTCTCTGGCAGGTTCTCAGAGTCCTGTTGTCCAAGTCCTGTCTGAGGTTGTACCCCAGGATATTTGCAGCCCCTGATTGGTAAGGCTGGAGAGCTTTGTTCCTGATGTGATCCTTCCCCACTGGCTCCTGCTCCAAGAGACAGGTCTCCGTGAGCTCCTTCTGTCTGGTTCGCAGGTGATCCACCTCTTTCTCCAGCACCTCCAGCCCTATGGTCTCCTCAATTCTCCTCCAGAAGCTCTGGTTGAAGTGCAGGTAGAGCTTCCAGTCCAGCGAGCACCACGCTTTTATCCGCTCCTCACTTTCCGGAGTCAAAGTCTGGACAGTGTCCTGACTTCTGGAATTGAGCTTGAAGTAAATCACGTCATCCAGATCCCAGCACAAAGTGTGCTTCAAGAGGATCATGGACTCATCAAAGTAGTCTGCTATAAGGATGAGGTGGAAGTTCTGCTCGATCTCCTCGAGGATGGCCTGGGTGTACTTTGTGTCGTCCTCCGCGTTGTTGTCATAGCCAAAGTCAAACCACATCATATTCCTGGCTTGGATGTTCTGCCTGTAATCTGCTGGGTGGTAATACCTCGTGGGTGATGCCAGGAACTCGTTCACGTCCTTGGAGTTCCTGAAGGCAGGGACATTGTTCTTGAAGTAGATGTAGGAAGACTCCATCAGAGGAATGGGGTTCCTCAGGATGGAGAAGTAGAAGGTGTTGGGTGCCATCACCTTTTGCACCTATTTGTGGGAGGAAGAAGAGGTTATTCCAGAGGCACTGCTGTCCCAGCCAGGTTTCTCCGCAGGTGTTGTGGCTCTTTCTTACCTCCGAGGGGTTAAACCGCAGGTGGTTGCACATGATGTTGTAGTTTTGGCCTATGGCTTCAAAATCCTCCACAAAGTGGGCCATGAAATTCCTCGGGTAGCCGAGGTGGAAGAGCTGGCCAGCAGGGAGGGCGACGGTGAGGTTGTACCTCTCTGCAAACCTGAACATGATGTTGAGCACGGTGCTGCTGGCTGTCTTGTGGGTCTTGAGGAACATGACGTTTTTCTTGGCAGGGCATGGTGTGGGAGGGGTCAGCAGTGGCTGTTTGAGATTCTGCAGGAAGGTGACAGTTTGGTCCTCCTGGCTGTTGAAGATTCTGCAGGAAGGTGACAGATGGAGCAAGTGGCCTCTCTGGTGCTGCACCCCATCTCTGAGACCTTGCACAGCCAAACCCAGGGGTTCCTCTGACACCACACCTCCAGCTGGTGCAAGGCTGCACCCAAACCAGCCCCATCCCTCCAGCGTAGATGTCAAGAGTTCTCTCTCTCTCCTGTTTCTCCCTTACCCAAAGGCTTCAGCTCAATCCCTTTTTCATTCCCTACCCAGCTGATTTTGCCCTGAAGGCTTGCATTTTGGCTAATTTGATTCCTTACCCACCCAAACATGGACCTAGCCCTTATTTTGGGGACACTGCCCTTCCAGTATTAGCCTAAGCCTCATGAGAGCTGAATCAGGTGTCACAGTTAGGTCGTGGCTGCCTGGGCACACAGAGCCTTGCTTCTGCTGCACTTACCTGTAATCCTTATCCTTCACATGGAAGAATCCTGACAGGAGCATGAGCCCCAGCAAAAGGCTGGAAATGATGAGACATCTGGTATGCCTGGAAAAAGAAGAGTTTCAGTGGATTTTTATCTGATAGTCCTTCCCTGAACCACCAAACTTTGCGTCTTGCCCTTGGGAATTTTAATTCCTGGGAGCACAGTTTTAGGTCTCAGTGGTGGCAGCCACCTTTGGCACCCCCAGCTGTGTCAGCAGCTCTGGTGTTAGAGACAAGACAGTGAGAAATTGCATTTTCACTATTATTCTTCTAATTTTGGCTTTTGGCAAGACACAGTGTGCTTCAGGCAGAGCCTAAGCTTTTCCAACAGCCTTCCACTCTGCTATGCTGCCTTTTGTTTTGCTTTTGTTTTGCTTTTCTGGGGCTTTAGAGCTTATTCACTATTCAAACTCCCAGATTATTCACTAGAAAACGAGCCCTTTGTAGGGCTATAAAGACTTTCCTGGTGAGAAACCTGAGCAGCTCCTGTAATCGCATCACTCCAGAAGATGGGGAACACAAAGAAACACTAAATGGAGGGTTTTTTTTCAGTATAACTGAGATTTTTCAAGTCAGACAATCAATTAATAACCAAACAAGGTTTGGTTTGTAATGATTAATTACACCCCACTTTGAAATGGAAGGGCTGGGTAACAATGAGGGGGAGAATGTTTTCCAGCACTAATTAGGCAACCACCATGTATCAAAGTGTCCTTGCCTGTGGCAGGGGGTTGGAATGACTCCAGGGGGTCTTTAAGGTCCCTTCCAAGCAAAACCATCCTGTGATACCACGATCATCACCAGTGTCCTGCTGGGACACAAAGAGGACCTTCTGAAGGTGTGACGCCCACCAGAAAGGAATTTTTCATCACCAAGCTTGATCTGACTTCTCTGATGTTTTAACTCATTGTGAATTCCATGTTTTCAGCCACCATTCCCAAAATGCACTAGATACGGCTTTAAGTTGTTTTGGGAAGATATAATCCCAATTTACAGCATGGTATGGTCGCACTCATGGTTCCCACTCTCCCAAGGGAGCAAGCAAGGCTCCAAACCTTTCTCCAAGAGCCCTTCCCAAAGCCAGAGAACACCCTCAGCCACAGCTGGTACCAACCTCTGACAGGAATTTACAGCACAGCTTCTGCAGGAATAGTTTCAAGACATTGCTGCAGGCAAGATTTCATCAGGATTTCCTCAGTTTTGGTCCCAGGTTTGTTGGGGGGCAGGAGTGGGACAATCCCCTATCCTTGGAGATGGGATGGGAGAAGGAAGGCAGAGGGGCCCACAGGCAGCAAGCAGGCTCACATCAGCCACATGCAGCCCCTGCCAATCTTCTTGGTCTTTCATTTAAACTGAAAGATGTTGCTGGTGCAATAGTTTTCCACCACCCTGAGCTGGTCTGGCAATGTCCTCCTTTTGCACCTTTTCTTATGTGCAATTAGTGCCATAACGGTCTGTCGGGGTTGACAGAGAACCTGTCAGCAGCCTGGCAGTTAGTGATGAGGAATTTAAACAACTTTTAGGAAATATTTACTGTGATGCCAGACGGAACAAAGGTAATGCAGCCCAGACCAAAGGTCACCAATCAAAATGTGTACAGTGTCACCAATAGCATGTCACAGCATGCACAGTGTCTTCAGTGTCACCAATAGGAGTGTGTGCAGTGTCTACAGTTTTTTATGCTTGAGACTTTTGACCAATTGTGTTGTGGCACAATAGTGTACAAAGAGTATAAAAGAAACACTTGAGAGCAATAAACAGCTTCCTGTTCACCTTACACCTGGACTAAGTCCCGACATTATCAGCGACAAGGACAACGGTCCATTTATTTGTTTGGGTGGCGTCCCCAGAATGGACTCTGACTGATGTCTTATGGGGCAAACAAATCGCATACACCCAAAATCATCCTGAAGGCAGGTCAGGCTCACAACATGCTCTAGAAGGACTAGCAGCCCCTCCTGCTGCAAGAAGACAGGCTCTGTAGACCTCTGCATCCAATCACCTTAAGGAATCCCACGATATTTTAACAATTATTTACTTAAATAAAGGATTACAAAGTGCCTTCCTGCCTTCAAATCTCCAGACAGTGAGTTTATCTCCAGCCTAACTGAATGCTCCCAACAGACCTGTTTTGTCAGCCCAAAACCAAACAACAGCTGGATTCTGCATCTGGAGACACAGTGGGGATAAAGGTCCAAATTACCTAGGCCAAAACCACGGCGGTTTTAAGGAGCAAGAGTGACTGATTTCTGTGGCACGTGGTCCATGGAGGTGCCAGGATGCACAGAAATAACAGGCTTCTTGTCCTGGGGATGACAAATGATGCATTCTTATGACAAATCTCCAACATTCCTGCAGACCTTGTTCTTGTAAACAAGTGAGCTGTTGAAATGATTCAGGGTTTTTACTGATAGAAACTGTGTAGGACCTTTACCCAGAGCATACACATCCTGTTTTAAACACAGTGCCACTGCTCTGCCAGAAAACAGCACAGGACCAGTGTGGGATTTGCTACCAGACCTTGCTTCCAGTGACAGGTGAGTAAGACATGACAACTCCTTGAAAGTCTGCAGAGAACAACGATTACATTTCAAGCTCTATATTCTTCAAATACACCTCATGGAAGTTATGAGAATATCAAGATTTTGGACAATGCTCTCAGGCACATGGTATGATTTTTTGGGTTATCCTCTGCAGGGCCAGTAGGTGGATCCCTGTGGGTTCCTTCCAGCTCAGGATTTTCTATGATTCTACGTCCTGCAAACCTGCACTGGGGTTTCACCCCCTGTTAGGCTCCCACCACCCTGGCACACCTCTGTGAGAGCCTTAAAGACTGTTCCCTTAGTGTCATACACCCCACCCTTTGTCACAACACTGAAAGTCTCTGACCCGAACAGAATCACGGAATCATTTAGGCTGGAAAAGACCTCCAAGATCTGGCAAAGCAAAGCTCAAGAGAGAAAGCCCCAACTCGAACACCGCGCTGAAGTTACCTAAGCATCCGTGACACGCAACCAGCCTGGGAGCCCTTGGAGGAAGCACCTGGGAGCTGACTGTGGAAATACACAGTTCTTCTAAGAAGCCAAAAATCTTGCGGAGCACTCGGCAGGGCTGGCGCCGGTGGCTCCACTTGCCTTTCCAACCCGTGCTGTGCCATCTCCCAGCTGTGAAGAAAACATGGGAAACTGCCTCTCCTGGAGGTGCCGCTACGGATGCTTTAAGGCTTGGGGCAACCTCCTTGTTGCTTTGGCTTAAGCAGAAAATAACAGACCTCTGCGTCAACTTCACAAGGTTCTTTCAAATTAAAAGACCTGGAACACCGGAAAGAAATATTCGTGGCAAAATTAATCCCTTACACTGGAGCGAACTGGAACTAAGTCTATAGGTTATTAACAACTTCCAGGGATTACCTGAAGCAGAACTTCCCGCAAAGCGAGTTTTAATTCGGCACCCCAAGCACTCGGCTCCCTCTGCCCTTACCTTGGAGTGCACCCAGGGCTTTTCATGCTCCTTCCAGCTGGGAAATGTCTCATTTGCAAATCGATTCCAGTACCCTTTTCATCTCCTCTGCCTCTTAGTGCCCATGTACCTATTTCTAGCATCCCCTCCCGGCTATAAATGGGTAGGTGAGGACACAGGGAGGGGCTAGGTGTGTTTCACAGAGTGGGTGGGAGTTAATTAATAAGCCATGGAAAGCGCTGGTGTGGCGGGACATCAACAGAGGTATAATAAGCTGCCCCGGGACACAGCATTTGCAACAGCTTTGCAGGGAAGGAAAGGTTTGGCAGGGACCCCTTAGTGGGGACCACCCTCTCTCCTGGCTGCAGGTGGGGGGGGCTCACAGCGGGATCCAGGCAGGGTGCTGGTGGTGTGGGGCTGGTGGAGGGCACTGGTCCCTTTGTGACCCTGAATGTCACAGCCCCTGCTGTGCCTTTCCTCTGCTTCTTGCACAGTGGGTTGGGACTGTAATTCCCTGCCAGACACATTCGGTAAGACGAAATTAGGGACATCAGCAAAACAGGAATGGTGCTCACCTACTGAAAATTCCTCTTAAAACATTTAGACTTCCCACTTTTTGGTAAAAATGGAATTATTGTAGCTGGAGGTTAAGGGCTTAGACACTTGGCTGTATCCAGGCCTTGGTGGGGGGAGAGCTCTTGCCCAAAATCGGGCCTTATTTTATGGTTTGTTTGCAAAATTACTTCTTGGTGCTAACTACCATTACAACCTGCATTATGCAGGAATTTAAAATTCCACCGAGGCTGCTGTACACCAGCACTAGACAAAGTGGGTTTGACAGCTGCAAATTGCCCTGGTGAGAGCAGGATTTGTCCTGCAGGTCTGGAAGTGGAGTCATCTCCCTCTTCCCTACACAGAGATGAAGCCAATGCTGTCCTCATTTGGGCAAGAGTGTAGCCACATCTCCCAGCCTGGATCAGGGGGGATTAAGTTGTTGCTTTTTGTCTTTTATGGCCATGCCACATTCCATGCATCTCCTGGTGGTCCCCTTTCCCTCCCCACCCACAGTGTCACCTTTCCAAACCTCGTATGCTGTGTCCCAACCTGCCCCACCAACAGCCAAGTCCTCAGAACTCCTTCACCCATGGTGCTCTGTCTTCAGAGTGCCCAAAACCTCAGCATTTTCTTTTAAATCACAGCTTCCCCAGGCCAGCCCCAACCCCAGTGCTTACCAAGATCAGAGATTAGCAAGGTGTAAGGTTGCTTTCCCCGAGTTTCTTGCTTGAACACGAGTCAATGTGCTCTTTTACGGAGAATTTCTAGGGTTACTCTTGGCACAGCACCTGCTGCTGCTGGCAAGGGGGGTCCATTTCATCGACCTCTTTCTCTTGTTACATTACACGTCAGCTGTGCCCCTTCTCGCTCAGGAGCTGGTCCAGCCCATGGATCACAAAAACCCATTTTTTGCACTTTTACAATTTATTCATCGCTCTCTCCTGGGCTGTTGCACACGAATCATTAGGTTTCGTTATGCCAAAAAAAACCCAAACCGATGCCAGGCAGGAATATTTGATTTCATATGGGAGTGGGCTGCTCGGAGACCAGGGCAGTGAAGGTCAGCCAGCTGATGCAGGATTAGTGAGCTGGGGCACTGGATTCACAGCTCCAGACTGGCTCTGCTCCACGTTGGGGGGCAGTCCCTGGGGGGGCTCAGCCCCGTGCAGCCGCTCGCTCGTACCCCCACAGTGGGATGGGGACAATCAGAGGGGTGAATGTGCAAAAATTCATGGGTTGTGATAAAGGGAAGCAAAGCTTCCTATTCCTGGAGAGCTGGGCTCCATCATGTGTAAAGGTGACTTGGGAATGCCCTCCTTCCTCCTTCTTCCTCAGCTTTTATTACTGAGCATGGCATCCTACAGGTGGGATATCCCGGGGGTCAGGCGGGGTCAGTCGTGGCCCCTCCCAGCTCCTTGCACACCCCAGCCCCTCACAGGGGGTGCAGGGTGAGGAGCACAAAAAACCTCCACACTGTGCAAGCACCACTCAGCAACAGCTACAACATCCCAGTGCTTCCACCACTGCTCTAAACAGAGCCCCAGACCAGCTACTGTGAAGAAAATTAACTCTATCCCAGCCAAAAACCAGTACAGAGAGAGAGGCAAAAGCAGTACAGAGAGCCAAGTGCTTCCTCACTGTGCCAGAAGACCACTGCTCCAAAGTGTGGAGAATCCACATCATCCTAACATTCAAATCTGTCCCAGAAAAATATAGAATTTTGGAAAAGAAGTCCCTGATTCTTTGTAAAAATACACACACATGTACCCACCCTGTCTCTCCCCCCGTACAACAGTGCACCACTATTTGAAAGCATCATTGAGAACATGGAACAGGAGAGTAATGCTGGTGTTTAAGGTCTAGGAAAGCTCCTGTAAAATTACCCTACAATAACTCCTCCCTTCTATTCCCTCAGGGAACTGCTCTATGGTTTAGTGAAACAGTAAAACTTACATGGAGCTTTAGGATCTTCATGTGTAAGGAAGATGGTTAAGTGGAGCTGCGCCAGAACTTCCCTGGCCACAGCACTAGGTTGTGTGTCAGCCTTGACTCCCTCCCGAGCACTCTCTCCATATGTAGCTGAAAAGCAGGAGTATGGAAAGTTCTGCTTCCCAAAAAGAGCCTTTCACGTGGAAAGCCTGCATTTTAAACAGTGATGGTCAGTAGTTTGGGGGAAAAAAGAGAAAGAATGGTGTAGGAAAAAGGCAGAGAATATAAACAGTCTGATTTGGAAAGAACGAGCTGCATCAGCTTATCCTAGCAGAAAGCAAATCCTGCATATTTTTCCCTCAAAAACATCATAGACTGTTCATATTTTTGCATCACCCCACATGCAAGCAGCACAGGCTGACTGTGTTCCATGGGCTGTCTCCTTCTTCACAGAACCACAGGATTCTAGAATCATTTAGGTTGGAAAAGACCTCCAAGGTCATCGAGTCCAATCTGTGCCTGATGCCCACCTTGTCAACCAGACCTGAGCACTGAGTGCTCATTCCTTGTCATTCCTTGGACACCTCCAGGCATGGGGACTCCACCACCTCCCTGGGCAACCCCTTCTGATGTCTAACTCTTTTTGTGGAGAAATTCTTCCTTTTTGCTAATGACGGCATTGTTCACTCTGCTTCACCCAAGAAGAGGTCGATCAGCTCCTCTCTAACTGGGTCCTGAGGAATGGAGAGGTGGGGAGTGTCCCATAGCAGAGAGAAAGAGTTGAAGGAGGGCAGGACTAGATACTGGCAGGCCACGTAAGACACGGAGGTATTCCTGTCAAAAGCATCCATGTGGCCAAGCTGAGAGAGGTGTGATCTTAGAATTGTATTGGGAAGGGTGTTTGCAACACGGTGCTGAGCATAAGCCAGCATCCTTAATGCAATCCAACAGCTCCCAGCGTTGTAGAGATTGTGTTCTGGGCTAAAACAGAAGAAAACTGACTCCCCAGGATGATTCCTCTTCCAAGGAAAAGGCTCTGGATGGAACTTTTATGTCACTGCTCTGCAAAGGAGCCAAAAATCACTGAAAAGCAGCTAGCAGAGAATAGAGCTACTGTGTCCTACCCTCATGGCATCCAGCAAGGCTTCCCAAACCAGTACATGGGAGTAAAAACCACCAATGAGCACCCTTTGAGCACAGCCAGCTTCTGACCTGTCCCACAGCCCAGGCAGCTGCTCTGTGCCTTGCCAGCTTGTCCAGGAGAATCACAGAATCATAGGATGGTTTGAGTTGGGAGCTCGCCTCGTTCCGACCCCCCTGCCATGGGCAAGGGAACACCTTCCACCGGACCAGGCCGCTCAAACCCCTGCCCACCCCGGACAAGACTGTGGGAAAGAGCATCAAAGGCTTTGCTGACACCCACGTGTAGGGCTTTCCCCACGTGTAGGGGCAGCTAGACAGACACCACCGTCCACCTGGATGATAAAAGAAGAAAATACTAAAGCAAAAGTATTCTGGTCCTAAGCTAGCCAGAGCTAAGATTAGTGTGTGTGAAAAGAATCACAAGGTCAAGCTGGAAGGCCCCTTGAGGCATAGTTGTTCTTTGTGAATGAAAGCAGTCACGTGGGCATGTGTGGGGATAAGAAACATCTGGCTTGCCTTGATGTCCTCTATATACATGGGGTAAAAAAATGTATATATGGGGTAATAAAGTTATGAGGTAGAGCTGCCTGGACAACATCTGTCTCTGCTTGGATTCATTAGCTGCACCCATGTTGACAGAAAGTGTCATTTTGTTGTAGAAAGTGATCAGGTTATTTACTTTTGGCAAATCCCTAGGCTCTTCCCAATCATCACCTTCATTTGGATACAACAAGAACCTGGCTTAAGAGTGACAGGTGTTGGTAAGTGCGGATATGACAAGCCAGCACCAAGCAGACCAGATGACTCACTGCCATCTGTAGTGGAAGGGTGACAATGTGGTTTTGTACAACAAACCATAAATTACGATCTCTTCTGTTATTTCAAAACAGGCTGTAGCAAACAAAACCAAAACCCCAAACCAACAAAACCCACCACGTTAGAACAGAACAGTCCAGCTGGAAGGGACCTACGATAATCACCTGGTCCAACTGCCTGACCAGTTCAGGGCTGTCCTAAAGTTACAGCATTGTCCAGATTCCTCTGGAACACTGACAGTCTGGGGGCATCAACCACCTCTCCAGGAAGCCTGTTGCAGTATTTGATTATTTGCTCTGTAATGTCCAGTCTGAACCTCCCCTGGCACAGCTTTGAGCCGTTCCCATCAGATCAGCACCTCCCTCTCCACGTCCCCTCCTCAGGAGGCTGCAGAGAGTGATGAGGTCGCCCCTCAGCCTCCTTCTGTCCAAACCAGACAAACCCAGAGCCCTCAGCCTCCTCCCAGGACACGTCTTCCAGCCCTGGCACCAGCATGGTTGTCCTTCTCTGGACACATTCAAGTACCTTCACATCATCTTTAATGATGGGGCCCACCCTGGCACACAGGGCTCCAGGTGAGGCCACACTAGTGCTGAGCACAGTGGGACCATCCCCTCTCCTGCCCTGCTGGTTGTGCCATGTGAGATGCCCCCAGGATGCCTTTTGCCCTCCTGGCTACCACTGGTTCCTACTGAGCTGCTGCCAACCAGCATCCCCAGATCCT